TTTTCATACAAATTTAGCTTATTTTTCTAGATTGGCTAAACTATTTCACATATGTTCCTTTTTTTTTTTAAAATTAAAAAAAAAAAGGGGGGGGGGGGGGGAAAAAGGGGGGTTTAAAAAAAAACCCCCGAGCATTTTTTTTCCTTCTGTGTGAATGTGTGACCAATAAGGCCATTGCTGCGGAAAGTTCAAGTTATATGCATCTTGACTAACCCCTGATCTCTATTAAGGGATAATTTTTTTTGGGTGGGTTTTGTGGGGTATCGTCTTGTTTATAAGTTCTGTTAATTTAGATATATCTTCTATCCCATATAAGAAAGGCGGGGTTAAATTTGTTAGTGGACAAGTACGTCTCCCCCCCCCCCCAAAAAAAAAAAAAAAAAAAAAAAAAAAAAAAAAAAAAAAATATTTATAATTTTTTTTTTTGGTGGGGGGGGGGGGGGGGGGGGGGGGGGGGGGGGGGGTGTTTTTTTTTTTTTGGGGGGGGGGGGGGGGGGGGGGGGGGGGGGGGGGGGGGGGGGGGGGGGGGGGGGGTATTTTTTTATAAAGAGGGGGAAAAAAAAGGGGGGGGGGGGGGGGAGAAAAAAATATTTTTGGGTTTTTTCTATCCCCACACCCCCCGGGGGGGGGGGGGGGGGGGGGGGGGGGGGGGGGGGGGGGGGGGGGGGGGGGGTTTTTTTTTTTTGTCAAAACACCCTTCCCCCCCCCCCCGGGGGGGGTTTTTTTTTTTTTTTTTTTTTTTTTAAAAAAAAAATATTTTTTTTTTTTTTTTTTTTTTTTTTTTTTTTTTTTTTTTTTTTTTTTTTTTTTTTTTTTTTTTTTTTTTTTTCTTTTCCAGATTTTTTTTTTTTGTTTAAAAAGGAATTTTCCTCCTTTTTTTTGTCCTTGGTGGGGTTTAAGGTACGATTTTTGAGTAAGCTAAAGCAGCTTACTCACGATGTTTTCCTTCGTGGCCATTACCTCAAATTAGATATTTATGGCATTAAAAAGACTTAGGTATACTAATTAACATATTAATGATTTCTCTCTTGTAATTTTAGAACGAGAAATGGATCGACAGGAGAGGTCTATTAAAAAAGATGCGATTGCATCGGCATATATATCCGCCGGTCGAATAGACTGCCTTACGGCAGAAAATAATTGTTACGAGCGCAAAAGGGACGAATCAAATGACCATACAGTCCCTACATTTTTAGAAGAGTCCGGTGTGATGCATCCAATAAAACAAACTTTTCTATCGCGACTGAAGCTTACTCCAGTTACTAGAAAAGCAAGAGACGGTACGCCGCAAAAATAGCATCAGTACAAAAGGCTACATTCGAGACTCTTATCTATATTTGATTTCAGGTTACGAGAAAATATGGCAAGAAGTTTTAAAAGAAAGGAAACGTCGCGAAAAACCATCAGGAAATTCCCAAACGAAACAACGAAAACTTGAAGGTGATCTTAATTTAGGCACAAACGACCAATTAAAACTTCTCAATGAAATAAAAAGTCAAGTCAACGAAAACAATAATTTAATTAAAAAAAGACTAGACTCTCACACCGAAGCTGGCGATAGCATTAAAATATTAGCTGAGAAGAATTTCTCTGTACTGAATCGACTGTCCAAAATGGCCGATATAAGTGTAAAGATTTTTAGTGGACAAGATACAAGAAAACGTGATTTAACGCCAGGCTTTGACAGTGAAAATATCCAAGTAACTAAACCGATAGCCAATTATACTCCAATTAAGGTACCAAATATATATAAAACTCGTGTCTCTGAAACCATAACTAGCACGGAGGAAAGAAAACCGCAAGAGATGATTGACGATGGAGAAAAATTCAGGGACGCCAGTTGTCAAACCTCAAACAACTCCTGGCCCGGCGTGGAAACCTTTATTAAAAACTATAAAGAGTATGACACAGGTAAATAAAAATATTTCACATTACTGTCCTATTCTCGCACTTCATCAAAATTGGTTTAGTAGTTTAAATGTAAAAGGTAGAGGCGAGGCGAAGGTAAGGCAAGTCAATGAAGAAATTTCAGTTTTTTATCATTTTCCTATTTTACATTACATTTATTCGTACATTATCGTAAATCCAAAATTTCTTAAAATACACATCTAAGCTAAAATGTTACTGATTATAAAATTACCATCGAGCATTACATTATTAGTTACCCTTCCGTCAAGGCTTAATTTAATATTGGAAATCCTATAAATAGCTCGCAAGAAAGAAATATTGGATCTAAATCGTTGCAACACAACACTTCGTGTCGGGAGTGCATATGTGACTAGGAACGCGTCCCGAGACTCCGACAGGGCGAAGGCTCTAGTCGCTGAAAGGAAACATTTGGCAAAAGAGGAGACCGCTGTAAGGAAGTCCATAAAGAAATTGTACAGCGCTTTAGAAAATATAAGAAGTCACATTAAATCTTAATCGCAATAAGAATTGTAATTGCGTTGATTCATAATTTAGGCTATTGTTTACCAAAGAGTTGAGACAGTTTATACTTAAAATACTTATTGCCATCATAGACTAGCAGGTGAAAAAAATTCATATCATCTCATAGGCATCAGCTAAATATTGAAAAAATCCATTTAGTTAGTATATTAAAGTGATAACTTTTTAAGTTTGTAACTGTTATAATGACAAGTATACTGTAAAAATAAGAGCAAAAAATGAATTTTATCCATATACAAAAAATTGTCATAAATAATATAAGAAATATAGTACTTATTAAAATATATTTTTTCAAAGTAGAACTAACACTATTTAATAAGAATAATGTTATTTAATAGTATTAAATATTTTGTTCTCATCTCATATCTCAAATAAACATGACTGTAAAAATATTTCGTACTTTATGAATAAAACCCAATTTTTCTGTTAAATCTTATATTTTGCGATCAAGCAATTGTTTTATTTTTTAGTAATTTTTATTACAGAAACAAATGACAGAGTATGTATTACATTTAAATATTGATTGTGAATAATTTTATTATTCTATAAAAATGAAGATGTAAACAGTTTAGATAAAAGGTAGTTAAACTACTCAGAGTAAGGATATATAATCGTTCAAGAAACAGCAATATTAGACGAAAAGAAAATAAATTATCTAAGATTTTGTTGTATTATCAAGATTTTTATATTTGCGATTATATGAATATAATTATGGAAATATCAAATCTACTGATAATTTTTTTTATTCCCTTGTGATTTCTTTACAGAACATGCATCTATTTATTCACCTTTACCATATATTTATTATTTGTATAAAATACTTTTTTTGTAAATTACTACTATAGAAATAAAGAACTTTGTCATACAAATTGTGTATTACTTATATCACATAACATCACAGAACAAGTCACCAAATCCCGGGTTTCAATATCTAAGTAATAAATACGAGTCGTTTTTTTCTCTATGGGGCAGCAGATAAAGAGATATTATTAAAATAATCCTTCTACAGCGGATATTTTGGTTGCTTTCAATATCGGAAACAGAGTTTTATAGTTTCAAATCAATATGTTATATAATTAACTAAACATTGTCCATACAACAGAGGAATGTTCCACCAACGACCAGCACCACGCCGAGAATGGCTCCTGGAAGCAAAGACATAATATTCATTCACTAACAGACTATTCAGATCTTATGCTCTTATTCACAGATCTAGAGACCAGCTTTGTTATAGAATACGGGTTATCCTAAGGCTACATTCGGTCGATTTAGATAACATGTACCTACCTACAGAATCTGCTCAAATCTAAATACACTCTTGCAATAAACGGGCACCTTATTAAATTACGATCTCAGGACGTTTCGATTTCAGTTAATAAAATAAAATTTAATTTTCTGACATAGTCTGTATACTTATAATCGTTAATCGTTAATTCTGGAAATTTCAATGAATTTATTATAACCCTAAACACGGCCAAACAATCAGAAATGGTTGGTAATAATGACAAGAAGATTAAGCTTCCTGGCGTTTTGTGGAGCGGGTTGAACTGATTTCACTTCTTTAGAACATCCCAGAAATGCTTAATTGGATTAAGGTCCAGGACGAGGTCAATCTAAACGACGGATCCCAACTTCCTTTTAAAAGGAATATTTCTAAAGAACAGTCTATGCGGGTTGTGCATGTGGAATTAGGACTTCTGTTATGATAAAAAATATCTCCGTACGCTCGGTCAAATTAATTGCTGCCCAAAAAAAAACGGGAGCCTCTGCTATAAGGAGTGATTTCTTCGAAGCACACTTCGGCATAGCGCTCCCGTGTTCTTCGCAGCATTCGCCTTGTCCACACAAAGAGAATCTAGCTTCATCAGAAAACAATATTTTATTCCAGCCCTCCAGAGTTCATAAAGCAAAGTTTCGACCGAAATCGAGCAAGAAGGTGCCAACGGAGTAATTGAGGACTCCGCGTCGGGCGTTAACTCCTGATATGGCAGCGAAAAGCCTCCTCCTGATAGTCCACAAGCTAACTTCTACTCCTTTTGCTTCTTCAGGTCGTGGTTGTTGGTTTTTTTGTTTGTGGGGGGGGGGGGGGGGGGGGGGGGGGGGGGGGGGGGGGGGGGGGGGGGGGGGGGGGGGGGGGGGGAAAAAAGAAAGGGGGGGGGGGGGGGGGGGGGGGGGGGGGGGGGGGGGGGGGGGAGGGGGGGGGGGGGGGGGGGGGGGGGGGGGGGGGGGGGGGGGGGGGGGGGGGGGGGGGGGGGGGGGGGGGGGGGGGGGGGGGGGGGGGGGGGGGGGGGGGGGGGGGGGGGGGGGGGGGGGGGGGGGGGGGGGGGGGGGGGGGGGGGGGGGGGGGGGGGGGGGGGGGGGGGGGGGGGGGGGGGGGGGGGGGGGGGGGGGGGGGGGGGGGGGGGGGGGGGGGGGGGGGGGGGGGGGGGGGGGGGGGGGGGGGGGGGGGGGGGGGGGGGGGGGGGGGGGGGGGGGGGGGGGGGGGGGGGGGGGGGGGGGGGGGGGGGGGGGGGGGGGGGGGGGGGGGGGGGGGGGGGGGGGGGGGGGGGGGGGGGGGGGGGGGGGGGGGGGGGGGGGGGGGGGGGGGGGGGGGGGGGGGGGGGGGGGGGGGGGGGGGGGGGGGGGGGGGGGGGGGGGGGGGGGGGGGGGGGGGGGGGGGGGGGGGGGGGGGGGGGGGGGGGGGGGGGGGGGGGGGGGGGGGGGGGGGGGGGGGGGGGGGGGGGGGGGGGGGGGGGGGGGGGGGGGGGGGGGGGGGGGGGGGGGGGGGGGGGGGGGGGGGGGGGGGGGGGGGGGGGGGGGGGGGGGGGGGGGGGGGGGGGGGGGGGGGGGGGGGGGGGGGGGGGGGGGGGGGGGGGGGGGGGGGGGGGGGGGGGGGGGGGGGGGGGGGGGGGGGGGGGGGGGGGGGGGGGGGGGGGGGGGGGGGGGGGGGGGGGGGGGGGGGGGGGGGGGGGGGGGGGGGGGGGGGGGGGGGGGGGGGGGGGGGGGGGGGGGGGGGGGGGGGGGGGGGGGGGGGGGGGGGGGGGGGGGGGGGGGGGGGGGGGGGGGGGGGGGGGGGGGGGGGGGGGGGGGGGGGGGGGGGGGGGGGGGGGGGGGGGGGGGGGGGGGGGGGGGGGGGGGGGGGGGGGGGGGGGGGGGGGGGGGGGGGGGGGGGGGGGGGGGGGGGGGGGGGGGGGGGGGGGGGGGGGGGGGGGGGGGGGGGGGGGGGGGGGGGGGGGGGGGGGGGGGGGGGGGGGGGGGGGGGGGGGGGGGGGGGGGGGGGGGGGGGGGGGGGGGGGGGGGGGGGGGGGGGGGGGGGGGGGGGGGGGGGGGGGGGGGGGGGGGGGGGGGGGGGGGGGGGGGGGGGGGGGGGGGGGGGGGGGGGGGGGGGGGGGGGGGGGGGGGGGGGGGGGGGGGGGGGGGGGGGGGGGGGGGGGGGGGGGGGGGGGGGGGGGGGGGGGGGGGGGGGGGGGGGGGGGGGGGGGGGGGGGGGGGGGGGGGGGGGGGGGGGGGGGGGGGTGGGGGGGGGGGGGGGGGGGGGGGGGGGGGGGGGGGGGGGGGGGGGGGGGGGGGGGGGGGGGGGGGGGGGGGGGGGGGGGGGGGGGGGGGGGGGGGGGGGGGGGGGGGGGGGGGGGGGGGGGGGGGGGGGGGGGGGGGGGGGGGGGGGGGGGGGGGGGGGGGGGGGGGGGGGGGGGGGGGGGGGGGGGGGGGGGGGGGGGGGGGGGGGGGGGGGGGGGGGGGGGGGGGGGGGGGGGGGGGGGGGGGGGGGGGGGGGGGGGGGGGGGGGGGGGGGGGGGGGGGGGGGGGGGGGGGGGGGGGGGGGGGGGGGGGGGGGGGGGGGGGGGGGGGGGGGGGGGGGGGGGGGGGGGGGGGGGGGGGGGGGGGGGGGGGGGGGGGGGGGGGGGGGGGGGGGGGGGGGGGGGGGGGGGGGGGGGGGGGGGGGGGGGGGGGGGGGGGGGGGGGGGGGGGGGGGGGGGGGGGGGGGGGGGGGGGGGGGGGGGGGGGGGGGGGGGGGGGGGGGGGGGGGGGGGGGGGGGGGGGGGGGGGGGGGGGGGGGGGGGGGGGGGGGGGGGGGGGGGGGGGGGGGGGGGGGGGGGGGGGGGGGGGGGGGGGGGGGGGGGGGGGGGGGGGGGGGGGGGGGGGGGGGGGGGGGGGGGGGGGGGGGGGGGGGGGGGGGGGGGGGGGGGGGGGGGGGGGGGGGGGGGGGGGGGGGGGGGGGGGGGGGGGGGGGGGGGGGGGGGGGGGGGGGGGGGGGGGGGGGGGGGGGGGGGGGGGGGGGGGGGGGGGGGGGGGGGGGGGGGGGGGGGGGGGGGGGGGGGGGGGGGGGGGGGGGGGGGGGGGGGGGGGGGGGGGGGGGGGGGGGGGGGGGGGGGGGGGGGGGGGGGGGGGGGGGGGGGGGGGGGGGGGGGGGGGGGGGGGGGGGGGGGGGGGGGGGGGGGGGGGGGGGGGGGGGGGGGGGGGGGGGGGGGGGGGGGGGGGGGGGGGGGGGGGGGGGGGGGGGGGGGGGGGGGGGGGGGGGGGGGGGGGGGGGGGGGGGGGGGGGGGGGGGGGGGGGGGGGGGGGGGGGGGGGGGGGGGGGGGGGGGGGGGGGGGGGGGGGGGGGGGGGGGGGGGGGGGGGGGGGGGGGGGGGGGGGGGGGGGGGGGGGGGGGGGGGGGGGGGGGGGGGGGGGGGGGGGGGGGGGGGGGGGGGGGGGGGGGGGGGGGGGGGGGGGGGGGGGGGGGGGGGGGGGGGGGGGGGGGGGGGGGGGGGGGGGGGGGGGGGGGGGGGGGGGGGGGGGGGGGGGGGGGGGGGGGGGGGGGGGGGGGGGGGGGGGGGGGGGGGGGGGGGGGGGGGGGGGGGGGGGGGGGGGGGGGGGGGGGGGGGGGGGGGGGGGGGGGGGGGGGGGGGGGGGGGGGGGGGGGGGGGGGGGGGGGGGGGGGGGGGGGGGGGGGGGGGGGGGGGGGGGGGGGGGGGGGGGGGGGGGGGGGGGGGGGGGGGGGGGGGGGGGGGGGGGGGGGGGGGGGGGGGGGGGGGGGGGGGGGGGGGGGGGGGGGGGGGGGGGGGGGGGGGGGGGGGGGGGGGGGGGGGGGGGGGG